AATCTTCAGTCCATTTCCTCGCTTGCCACAACCAATGCTCCCTCTAAGCTGTGGAGTATCGTGAGCAAAAATTCAACTTTGTGACCTACCAGCATTAAAGTTGTGAGCGAGCGATCTGGCTTCTGCATAAATCAGTTTGCTCTGGAGCCACCCTTCCTTAGCAAAGACAGAAATGTATGAGCCGGAGGCTAAAAAAAACTGTGAGCTAGCTCACACTAACTCAACTTAGAGAGAACACTGGCCACAACCCACCCAACCCATCCGCTTCCATGAACTGGCAGGGCAGATGCAGAATGAAAGGAGACGACACAGCAGATAGATATTTTTTTTTGGTATTTTTAATTCGAATCATGACAAAAATATATTATTCCTATTGCACTAGCATTTCTCTACTTCTATGGCTTTGTCTGACTATTTTTTTAAAAAACAAAACAGTACAGTATAAATATAAATTTGATTTCCCCCCCCTCTCCCCACAGACCTATTGCATTTTTTAAGGTTTTCACCACACCAAGATTGTCGTGGACACAAACAGAATAAGGCTACCTTGAGAAAAGGAGGCAACGGTTTTCATTTTTACAAAGACAAACAGGAAAGCACATCATGGATTTTACAACACACCTCGGATTCAAATACATCAACATTTTTTGTTTCGGAACATTGCCCACAGGAGGTTTTACTAGGGTTGCCAGGTCTGGGTTGGAAAACACCTGGAGACTTTGGGGGTGGATCCGGGAGAGGGCGGGGCTTGGGGAGGGGAGGGGGCTCAGCATGGCACAATGTCAATAGAGTCCACCCTCCAAAGCAGCCATTTCGTCCAGGGGAGCTGATCTCTGTCAGCTGGGAGATCACTTCTAAAAGCGGGGGATCTCCAGGCCCCACCTGGAGGCTGGCAACCCTAGGTTTTACAAACAGCTTTATAAGATCAAAGGAAGGAAGGCATCGTTTGAGGCGATAAACGCAGGCACTGTGGTGTGTACAGCCCTCGGTCAGACAAAGAAACCCGATTCGAATCCTGAACCACGGCTGGTTGGCTGTCCCAACCCTGGTGAACAGGACTCCCCTTGGACACACAAGTGCTGGAAGTAGCTGTCGTGTACTAAACCAAACTCGAGTCGCTGAGCGATAATTGGCGCTAACTATGGAGGGGGGTGACTAAGTGGCGGAAAGTCCAATCCAGTTGCAGCTGACTTACGGCGACCCTGTAGGCCAGTGGTGGCGAACCTATGGCACGGGTGCCAGAGGTGGCACTCAGAGCCCTCTCTGTGGGCACGGGTGCCATCGCCCCAGCCAGGCACAGACCATCATTAAAGTGTCGAATCCTCTGCCAAATAATTTTAAGTCAATGAAAGCATTTGGGATTGCTTTCCTTACTGTGTTTGGATCATCTGAAGTTAATGTATGAGTTGTTTTTTCTAAAGTAAAACCTCAGCATTCAGGTTAAATGGCCGTGTTGGCACTTTGCGATCAATAAGTGGGTTTCAGGTCGCAGTTTGGGCACGCGGCCTCTAAAAGGTTCGCCACCACTGCTGTAGGGTTTTCAAGGCGAGAGACAGACAGAGGTGGTTTGCCGTCGTCTTTCCCCGCCCTAGACTTCCTTGGTGATCTCTCGTGCAAGTACCAACCAGGGCCTACATTGCACAGCGCCTGAGATCTGGTGAGATTGGGCCATCCAGCTCAGGACACGTAAAAGAAGTCAACGGCAACTGGATGCCAAACTGGGCAACTTGATTACAGCCTTTGAGCCTGATTTAGGTGCTTTGCCTGTATGGCTTTGCTCGAAGCTCTTGGTTCGGAACTGGGCTGGGTCCTGCTAGCTTTCCCTGCTTATAAAAGAGGAGTCGCCTTTTAGCACCATAAAAAGCTATGCCAGGTATCATAGGATCCCAGAGTTGGAAGGGGCCACAAAGGCCATCTAGTCCAACCCCCTGCTCAATGCAGGATCAGCCTAGAACACCCCTGACAAGGGTTCGTCCAGCCGCTGCTTAAAGATTGCCAGAGTCTTTAGGCAGAGTTCAGGCGAGACGGACGCTCTGCCAGGGGAGCACTGGATGAGATGGCGTGGGAAAGCTGGTACGATTCGAACTCATGAGCCCACCCCTTTCAACGGGGAACTGCAGCTCTTGTCTGCAGGAGGGACTGCCCCTGCTGTTTTAGTCGAGCCGCAAGCGCTCCCGAGTTTCGCCAAATCGGTCGTCCCACTCTGATCGCCTGCTGTGATCTTAGGATGGGTCAGGAAACTCGCTTGAGACGAAAGCACGTTTCCGGGAGCCGTTTGGGTGAGAATGGATCTGACGAAGAGAAGCTCCAGCAACAAACTAAGTGGACCACTCGGCAAAACCCCCAAAACGTCCTTGTAGTTTAGAATCACCTGCTATGGCTGAGCGGGCATTGAAAAGATCATTTGGTTCAAAACGGTGTCCTGAATAGTGTTTCCGGGCCTGTACACAGCACAAAAGAGGCCAGATCCCGCCAAAGTGAAGTACATTTTAAGATTTCAGGGGGAGACTGAACCTGTCAAGGCGCCTGAACCTGCACGTGTGCATTTGGTAGCATGCTTCACGTGTAAAGAGTACAAGCGGAAGAAGTCCTTCAAGTAAAGTTTTATACAGTAGCGGTCTAAGACAAAGGCTCCAGTAGTGTGGTTTTACCATTTCTCTGGAAGTTTCTAGTCCTTAATGTTTCACGGAAAAACTTAAATATGGTTGCAAAGTAATTCAAGAGGGTGGTACTTAGGAATTAACTGAAGAAGAGTTGGTTTCATACCCCGTTCTTCACTGCCTGAAGGAGTCTCCGAGCGGCTTACAATCACCTTCCCTTCCTTTCCCCACAACAGATACCCTGTGGCGTAGGTGGGGCTGAGACAGTCCGGAGAGAACTGTGACTGGCCCAAGGTCACCCAGCCGGCTGCATGTGAAGGAGCGGGGAATCAAACCTGGTTCTCCATATTAGAGTCTGTCGCTCTTAACCACGACACCAAGCTGGCTCCAAAAGAGAAGAACATAGAATTGTGTCGTTTCAAAAACTGGAATGTTACAGCAGTCTTATAAATTGGAGGATTTACAAGAAAAAATCAGGATAAATCTTTATGGACAGCAATTGGAAAAAAGGCCTCCATATCTTTAAATTGAACTGGAAATAGTTTAAGGCCACTAAGAAAACACGGGAATGACTGTGAGTCTCCCCTGCCCCTTCTCTTCTTCTGCCTACAAATAATTTTAGAAGGGACATAAATGAACAGACAGATTTACAGCTTGTTAAAAAAAAGTGTCTAGCCGGCAGGTCACAAAGTGGTCCACCAGTAGATGCTGCAGCCTCTGTCTCCGCAAACTGCAGCTGAGCACAGATTTCGACGCTGCTTTGAGAAATGGTGAGAACGGAGTTTTAAAAATAAAATAAAACCCACACAGTAACAAAATCGAGGTTGTACGTATCTCTGCCTATTTCAGACTGATGACGTAAAGACACAAGGTCGCAGCCAACGCTCCCTCTAAGCTGCGGAGTCTTGTGAGCAAAAATTCTACCTGGTGAGCTACTGGCATTAGAGTTGCGAGCGAGCGATTTGGCTAGTGCATAGATCAGTTTGCTCTGGAGCCGTCCTTCCCGAGCTGAGACAAAAATCTGTGAGAGCCGGAGGCTAAAAAACTGTGAGCTGGCTCACACTGACTCAGCTTAGAGGGAACACTGGTCGCAGCCACTACAAGGGCCTTGTGAGGTCCACACCAGGATCTCCCATCTGCCTGTCTTTCTCCTCCCACAGTAGCCGCTTCCAAGCCCAGGAAATGTTATTCCTGGGGGGGGCGTGGCCCCCTTGTGGAGTAACAGACTCCCTAGGTCGAGGTGGAATGCAGTGAGAAGAAGGGAGGGACGTGCAAAGTCACTCCCTCCTTCCTCTTCAGTCGGCAGAACTCTGCTCCCCCAAGAGGCAGGAGGGTGTGATTTTCTTTGCCCTCTTTCCCCCCACAGCATGGTGATTACTACCACGGGGGGCTGCCCCCCCAGGTCAGAAATGGTTGCCCGGGTACGGGGAGCCAGGAAGATCAGGGACGGTTAGTGCTTCGTACTGAGGGAGCGATGGATCCAACACAGAAGGTACTTCTGGCTTCAGAAATCAGCTTCCTGATGAATTTAAACTTTCAATTTAAAAAGATGTTTCTAGACCTTAAGGGCCCTTAGTGGGGGGGGGGGCCTCCAGTGTCGCTTTTTGCCTCTTGGAAGGTCAAGGAGAAACTGATATGCAAAATAAGATCTATGCAGCTAATGCACTCCAGATTTTCTTGGTGCAGAATTATTGTTTTTGCGTTAGTGCAGAATACGCACGCTCGGGATTAGAGAAAATCGTGGATAGCATCACCCAGCTACATCCTGGCTCACAGGTCATTCGGCACGCGCTTTTGCGCTTCAATTATCCCTCATAAGGACTAGAAACTTGGGTGTGTTTTTTTAAAACTGAAAACTAAGATGAGAAAGTCCTAGTGCCTGGTTCCACAGCCCAAAGCAGGCAGAGAGCGTCAGCTACACAGTGAAGACAGAGAAGGAGAAACAAGCAGATGAGACCTCAGAGTTCAAACTTCAAATGCTACCCAGGAGATTCCGGGTCCCAGGGCTACAGCCTAAATAAGGACTCAGACAACAAGAAGAGGAGGAGGAGGAGGAGGAGATTGGATTTATACCCCACCCTTTACTACCCGAAGGAGTCTCAGAGCGGCTTCCAATCTCCTTTCCCTTCCCCTCCCCACAACAGACACCCGGTGAGGTAGGCGGGGCTGAGAGAGCTCTTGACAGAACTGTCCTTGAGAGAAAAGCTCTGACAGAACTACGGCTTGCCCGAGGTCATCCAGCAGCTGCAAGTGGAGGAGTGGGGAATCAAACCCGGTTCTCCCAGATTAGAGTCCACGCATTTAACCACGACACCAAGCCAGCAAATGCACTTGCAGGACTAAAAGCACCAGCCACTGAACTGAGTTTATTGCAGTCCCTTGGATGTGGTCACCCCTCTTTTCTCATCTGTCCGGAAACAGCAGCCAGGATTAAGGGAGCAGGCATATTTTTAAACGGTGCCTCCCACGTAATGAAATTCACTATTCTAAAGAAGGGGTTTTTTTTGCAGAGTTCGCCAGGCCTAAACGCAGCAAGTCAAGTTTGCATATTTAAGGGTGGGGAATTGGACTGCTTAGGTTCCATCCTGTTGTTTACGGCTCTTGCAGGGACTGAAAAGCGAGGTGGGATTCGGAGCCTTTCCTTCCAGCGTGGGAGCCCGGGTTCGTTTGGAACCCTTGAGCGGTCGGAGAAGATGGCTGCATTCCTGTCAAGCGTCCAGAATGTTGATGCGCACAAATATGGTGGCGGACGGATACGGGTCTCCGTTCTTCGTCAGGAGGTGGATGTGCCGGTAGCCTTAAGAAAGAGAGAAAGGTGTGAAATACCAAGTTGCGGCATCCTTTCTGTGACGCTCCCCCCTGGGAATGGACATGAGCCCAGTTACAGCCTGATGGTGGAAAGTGCCGAAGGGTTGCCAGCAATGTTCCCTCTAAGCTGTGGAGTTTTGTGAGCAAGAATTCTACTTTGTGAGCGACTGGCATTAAAGTTGTGAGGAGCGATTCGGCTCCTGCATAAATTAGTTTGCTCTGGAGCCACCCTTCCTGAGCTAGGACAAAAAGGTGTGGGCCTGAGGCTAAAAAAACTGTGAGCTGGCTCACACTAACTCAGCTTAGAGGGAACACTGGTTGCCAGATGTTCTCGGGCTTCCAGTGGAGGGCGCCGGGGTTTGTCCCAGGAGCTTCTTCTGCGCATGCCACAATGACATCATGTGGAAGTGATGTCATCATGCCGGCACTTTACATATCGACACTCTAGCATTTTGGCCAAAAAACCCTAAGGGTACCAAAGAGTTCCAGCCAAAAGCACGGACAGGCGATGTGCCTAGTGTGGTGATGTCACTTCCAGGTTGACGCCAACATCACTTCCAGGTTGAATTGTACTGTTTTACTGGCTCCTGCCACAATAATGAGTGGGAGTGGGTCTTCCCCTGAAATCAAGGGAACCCCCACCTTGGCCGGGGGTCTGGCAAGCCTAAAGTGCCATCAAGTCACAGGTGACTTATGGAAACCCCGTAGGGTTTTCAAGGCAAGAGATGTTCAGAGGTGGGTTTGCCATTCCCTGCCTCTGCGTTGCAACCCTGGACTTCCTTGGTGGTCTCCCAACCAAGTTCTAACCCAGGCTAACCCTGCTTAGCTTCGGAGATCTGATGAGGTCGGGCTAGCTTGGGCCATCAAGGTCAATTCTTACCTTCACATAATCCAAAAGTTACTGTTTGGAGAAAGTTTAATTCAGAAAAAAAGATGTTTGTCTCCAGTATCAGAAGTTGGAGGAACCAGATTTTACAGCCCAGGGTGCTTTGAGGAGATTCCTGCTTGAAGGCATTTTTTGGTGTCATGATGGAAACTGGGCCCCCCCGCCCCCCCTGTTCCTTTCTAGATGGGGCTGTTGTCTGGAACGGGCCGCAAAGTCTTACCTTGCTTTAGACTCGGGAAAGGCGCCGTGAACTGCCCGATGAAATCGTTTTTCGTCGACGTGTCGAAATCTTCCACCATGAAACGAACGAGAGCGAGTCTGGGAACGTCGATATCAAATTCAAACGTTTCGTTCCAATATGGGTTAAAACCTGGATGGAGGGAGAGAGGAAGGCGGGGGAGGTGAGAAGGCCAAACAAGGCCATGCAGAGGTATGCAAGCTGCCTGCGGGGGGAAATGCACGCGTCGGTCCCAAAAGCGAAGACTGCTGTTCCAACATATGAGCGCATCTATGTAAGGAAAAGCGCTCTGGAGTCATCAGAGGGTCCTTTTTAACCCCACCAGACCAATAATTCTGCAGGCTTTTCAAAAGATGGGTCAAGGTATGGATGCCCAAATCACAGATGTGCGTAGGAAGCACGGAAAACGGAGGCTTACTTAAGCTCACCCTGGTAGAAGCTAGATTTGAGCCAGGGACTTCCAGCTCAGACTCTGGCAGAAATCCCATACACAACTGCTCAGAAGAAAAATAGCAAAGTTCGAGTCCAGTGGCACGTTTAAGACCAACAGAGTTTTATTCGGTACGAGCTTTTGTGTGCACACAAACTTCCTCAGATACATTGAAACTGACGTTAACAGTTTATATATATATATATACACACACACACACACACACACACACATACACACACACTAGGAGGAAGGCCCGTTGTGGGCCGAAATGCAACGAGCTTCTAGCAGAGGGCCTGGGTGAGCGTGGTGTCATGGAGGAGGCGTGCTCGGCCCCTCCCGGAGCCCCGGCCGAGTGCAAGGCAGCCTGCGGCCCCTGACCCACCTGGAGGCATGGAGGAGCGTGGGGCGGGGTGTGTGCCGGTCCCCGGTGGCGGGAAAAAGGGCCACCTAGAGGCCGCACCATCGCCAGAGCAGGCCCACGGCCCCTGACGGAGGCGGAGTGAGGGAGGGGCGCAGGAGCGCGGGTCCGGGCGAAGCAGCAGAGGCCGGCGTCAGGGCAGCAGGCGGTGCGCCGCAGAGGCCGGAAGAGCCGCCAGGGCAGGGGGAAAGGAGGTGAGAAGGCCGGTCGAGCAAGCCCTTTCGGCCGCTGGAGCACGCGCCGCCTTTGCCGCCTCGCAGCTTGCTGAGGCGGAAAGGCTGGGCGGCAGTTCTGTCAGAAGGTGGGCGGGACGTTGACAACACATGGGCACGCAGTCACCAATGGATGGCGAGACCCTGCCAATGCAGCCATCATTGGATGGCGAGACCTTGTGATTGACAGGTCTCCTGGCCAAAACCTGCGGGAGCGTGTTCCAGGACTCACACGAAATGAGCTTTATATATAAGAGATACACACACACACACATATATTCAGGTTAGGGTTGCCAAATCCTTCTCGGCCGGGAGCGGGGGGCTCCCGGCCGGCGTCGGGGGTGCACGAGCTGCGTGCGCATCACCCGGAAGTGATGTTTTCCCTTGTATGGCCGTGGCCCCGCCCCCAGCGTGCCTAGCGTGCCTACGTCACTTCCAGGTGACACGCACGCTGGGGGTGGGGTTCCCCCGGGCCCCGATTCCGCTGCGTCGGAAATCAGGGCTTCAAAGCGGGGGATTCCCCGCCCACATTTGGCAGCCCTAATTCAGGTGCCGCTGGACTCAATCTTTGTTCTGCTGCTTCAGACCAACACGGCTACCCACCTGGATCTGTGCTCGGAAGGAAGTCCCACTGGTATTTACTTGCACATAAGGGAACATAGGAATGTAACCTTAGCTGCTGCACTGGTCAAATTCTCAGTGTATGGGCATGTAGAAAAAGAGCAACATATCAGGAGCACCTTAAAGACTAACAACATTTGTGGCAGGGGATGAGCTTTTGTTGGTCTTTAAGGTGCTTCTGGGCTCGCGGCAGGGCACATTGCAGGGGTGACACTCTAGCATCGGAGGGAAAAAACTCTATGGTAACCACAGAGTTTTTAATCGAATGCTAGAGCGCCGTCGACCCCCCCCACACACATGCCCTGCAGTGGGTAGGGACCTGGCAACCCCAGGGGTCATTTCGTAGAAAAAGAGCTAGGGGAACTAATTAGCATAACTCATTAGCATATGCCACACCCCCTGACATCATAAGGCCCGGCGGTGGACCTGCAAGGCCGGCGGGAGTGCGAGGAAGCCCCGCCAAGGCCCTCCCTGGCCCCAGGCAGGCAGGGGTGGGGAGAGGCGGGGAGGAAGCAACTTACCCTCCCTCTTCTCCTGCCTCCTCCTGGCTGAATGAGGGCCGGAAGTGGGGCGGCCGGAAGCAGGGTGTGTGGCTTCGTTGTGTGCCCCGCTCCCCGCACCTCACCCAGGGGAACTGCGATCCCCCGCGATCCCCCCCGAAATGACCTCTGGGCAACCCTATGGTCAGCTTTGTAAGAAGACAAGGTGAAATGGTGACATGGGGTAACA